GTCCCTCCACCTCTGCTACACTAGTGACAGCTGTTGTGGCGCCTGCCACGCGCATCAACACTACATACAATCCTGACAAACCGACAAACGTAAACTCCGCCACCACCGACGCCAGCGGTGAGGACCAGAACTACAACAGTCCTCAATGCGACCGCACCTTCACCTCACGCATCGGCCAGGCCGGTCACTTGCAATTCCATCGCACAGAAACTGGCAAAACAATGGCTGGCGCACCAAATTGCACCCAACGCAATCGCCTCCACTGTCCACACTGCCCTCGCACATTCATGCACCGCATGGTTCTATTCGGCCACATGCGCATCCACGAACACCTGCGGTAGACAACCGCAGGCTGCATCACATCATCACAACCCCCCCCCTCACAACCATCTCAACAAACATGAACATTACCCACCGCAACTACCCACTCGCCACCTCCCATGCAAGTGGGACGTGTGCGTCTTGACTCGGTCTCCGTGCGCCTCCTATTTCACGGTTGAATCAAGTCTGAGAATCCCGACGCGTCAAGCAGCGTTGATAGGAAGGCTGCTGATTGACGCCGCAACTTGGTCCACGCAGTTTCGTCCAGTTGTTTGTGTGTGTGTTTGTGTGGAGTGGCGGAGTGGTGGGCTGGGGCCGGGCTAAAACAGCTCCTTTGACGGCACTCTCCCGCATTAACAGATACGCCGCTAAACTCCCGTTGATTGAAATCTTGATGTGTGTGTGTGTGTGTGTGTTTCGGAGTCTGTCGTGATAATAGTCGACAACCAGAATGTTCCCAAATCAGGAGTCAAGGAAGACAGTTTGATTGAACAAGCTGCACTAGAGTGAAGGACGTACAACGGCTCTGATAGCAGTCGGGACAAGTTGTCACCCACTTGTAGTGGATGAGGAAGAGGAGGAAGAGGACGAGGAGAAGGAGGAGGAGGAGGAGGAGGAGGAGGAGGAGGGAGTGGAGGTGGATGAGGAGGGGTAGCAGGAGGAGGAGGACGAGGAGGGTAGAAGGACTAAAGAAACCTTTGCCACTCATACTGTCGCAGAATATACGTTGTGCCAGCAGAGAGTGGTAGCCCTAGGCCTAGAACGGGAACGATGACGGTTTCTGAAGAAGGTATGGCGAGAAGGGCCAGGAGAGCAGTGCATCTGCAAAGTGGCAAGTGGTTTGATCAGGGGAAAGGAACAAGTTATCGAGCCGAAATGAAATACCTCTACAAACTATTCTCCCAAAATGTGTACCCGCATGACTTTATACGTTAATGCATGAGGCACCAGCAACTCTAGGGAAAACGTATTTTCAATGCTACCCCCCCTCGGACACCAAAACCAACCACCTGGCGAACTCTCGCATACGTGATAAATGTATCTGACTAGTCGAAAGACAATTGAAAAAGTGCAAAATACACGTAGCACACCAGCCGGCAACAACCTTACGCACAGCTTGTACACCCTAAGGACAGGGGTGGCTACATCGAAAGAAAAGGTTTTGTCTATAAAATCCCGTGTTCTAGTTGTGATGCCGTCTATTGTGCCCAAACTGGGAAATCTGTCTCAACCCGTATGCATTAGCATCAGTTAACGGTAAAGAGACGCGACCATCAATCCCAAGTGGCCATGCAAACACTGTAACCTGGGCATAAATTTGCATGGGACAACACTCGCACTGTTGGCGCCTGCCCATTAAGGAAATGCCGCGAATTCCTAGATGCAATGCATTCAGATGAGGCATGCATCAACCGGCATATCGATCTAGACGCCACGTACAAAATCGTCAAGGAAAGATTCAAACCGACTCAACCAATGCCAGGAAAATGACCTTGAACAATCACATACTCCTTTTGTCGGACTCGGTCTAGAAGTTAATTTTTTTGCATGCCCGTTGTCTGAAGACGAGCTGGGGAACCAGTCTTGAAAATTTGCACAATGAAGTTTAGAGTTTCCTAAAGAATTTCACCTTCCTTAACATATACATATGGTAGTGGGCGCTCACCGATCGTTCTTATAGAGATCACTCGTTCCGTTGTGCCTTATCGGCTTTTTCTCTCGAACCCAACCAGCAGCCGCACGGCGGCGCATGATATAGGCAGAATGGCATTACTGACAAAGACAAGGGAGACTGGAATGGCCATTTCTGGCTTATTAGCCGTCGTCAGCCAGCCATACCCAACCCCGAAGTGTGGAACACCCGAGGCTCGAACTCGCGACCTGTTCAGTCAGTCAGTATCAGTCAGTATATTTGGAGTAAACAACAGAAGCCATGAAAACTCCATTTAGAGGGTACAGGTATAAAGTAAAATAGTTAAATTGCAAAACTTTTGCTTGCAGTTTTAGTAGGAGAATTCATAAATCTAATAATGTAACATGAAGGTGAAAGGGGTATTATATTCGCAAAATAATTGCGGAAAACTTTGCTCACCACATTCGGACCTGTTATTTAGAAGTCCACGCCTCTATCCACTGAGTCACGATTCCGTTGTCCTGTCGGTTTTTGATCGGAAATATACAATCGGCGCTCAACGATCGTTCTCCTTCCGTTGTGCCTTATGGGCTCTCTCTCGAGCCCAACCAGCAGCCGCACAGCGACGCATTACCAGCACACGAAAACGCAAAGCCATTGCACATATTCTACTCAAAATGCGACCGGGCGGACAAATCAAGCTTTGGTGGTACCTTGCTATTCCCCTAGTAATAAATTCTTCGCACTTGAAAGTCTCCATTCTCAGGGATAAAACATACTCTTGAGATGGATGTCATTTGCGGACTCCTATGAAACACTATTCTACAATAATGGCAACCTGCTTCTTTTTGAGATTTGATGATTAAACACATTCTTCTATTTGTTCCTCCTCCTTTTCCTCAAAAAATAACTTCCCAGGACAGCATGAACATATTCATTCCGGGGGGTCTGAGCACTGATGCACTTTCGCCAGCTCAGAATTAAATGAAATTATTGGACGATGGGCAATTTTTGTGCCTAAAGCCAGATATGCAATATAGGAGGAAGAACAGTTACAGCTCTAATTTAATATGTCGCGATAGGATGATTGACTAAAGACTTGCGTGAATACCCTGTGGTAGGAGAGGAGTCCAAAATACCGAAATACGTTTTGGATTACGTAGTACTACTTAAGTGGGGCTATAAAATTGATTATCAAAAGGCATAATTCTATAGTATTTTGAATGCGCCAGATGTTCGGCTTTCAAATGTACTTGTTTTCGACCCTATTCAAAGACCGATTCGATAAAAAGATGATTACATAGGTAACATGCATTTTTTACATTGACTTTCGACGGTCTTATAGATTCAGAAATGACAGTTCGACCATCGATTTCGATGATGTCCACCGTGTGCCCCACAGCAGGTTGGAGCAGGGACGGTGACTTGCGCAGGGGTTTATAGTGCCAGTAGACTTGCGCTGCATCTACCTACACTCTCTCCACCTCCCTCGCCCGAGCTCGGTGTCAAGACAGATTCAAGAAGACCGGAGACGAGGGAGGCCGCAGTTGGATGGCTCGGACGGATCCTCACCTTAGCGTTCCACCACACCCCCTGGTCCACACAACAATAATCAGGATTTCAACCATTACAACAGAGATTTGGAGGCTGGCACGGCCGAAGCCGCACCTAGGCGTGCCGCCAACGCCTTGCTCAGATCCCACACTGTGATGGGAGTGTCATAAAGGCCACATTAAAAAGGAGCCATTGCAGCCTGACTCTCAGACCGCCTCCCGTTAAGGAGGAGGTCCAAGGTACCCCGTCAGTTGGCAACCTTCCAAGCCACGGCCTTTAGCGCACCGTGATAGCTTCAAACGCGTCAGATTGTTTATAGTGAGGAAAAAGTGCGCTGAGTCGTCGACCTCACTCTCCCTTCCTATTCCCACACTCCAGCCACCGTCCGAGCCGGTCGGCAAACTGGAGTGGTGGATGGGCGAGGTGACTGCCACGGTCGACTGACCGTGACTGCGCGCGCCACAGCACGACCTGGCCCCCCATACACACACAAACACCAGGATTTCACATAACGGGGGTTGAACGGCGTGTCTCTCACTTGCGTGAGAGGGCCGTGGAAGGTGCTGCTTCAGCCCGTTCCCAGCCCACCAGTCCGCCACTCCACACAGCACACACACAACGCGACGAACTGTGTGAACCGAGGGCGGGCATCAATCAGCAACCTTCCTATCCACGACACTAGAAAGTGTCGGGATAGTCTCGGGCTCAAATCACCCGTACAGCCGAAGCCGCGTGGGAACCGAGACGAGATGCACACTTCCCACTTGCGTGGAAGGTGGCAGTTGGTGCATGCGGTGGGTAAGTGTTGATGTGTGTTGGTGATGGTGGAGGAGGGTAGGGAGTGTGTGGATGTGTGGTGTAACCGTCGGTTGTCTACCGCAGGTCGTCGTGGATTCGCATGTGGCCGAATAGGCCCATGCGGTGCCTGAAAGTGCGAGGACAGTGTGGACAGTTGAGACGAGCTAAGTGGGTGTAGGTTGGTGCTTCAGGCACTGGTTCGCCGGTCTCTGTGCGATGGATTCGCAAGTGACCGACCAGGCCGATGTGTGAGGTGAAGGTGCAGTCGCAGTGAGGACATGTGTAGTCCTGATTCTCATTGCTGGAGTCAGGAGAGGC